TAGGGGGTAAAAGTACTTTAAACTGTATAAATTCAATTGAATAAAATTGGCCAATCACGAGAAAGTTAGCCTATATGTTAGTGGGTATATAGTAATTTATGCAGCATGTAGATCATATATTGAATTATATTTATTATATTTGCAACTTCAACTCCCAGTGAACGTGAACGTTTATTCAGTAACGCTGGTAACTTATTAACATTGAAAAGAACCCGAATTATGCCTGAGCTATTCAAAAGGATGTTGTTTTTAAAAAGAAATATTGATAAATATCAAAATATTCATCCTCCTGAATAGCATATTTTATATAGAATTTGCGAATTTGTTTCGTAATAAATACTTAAATGGATTTGCTTTGTAATACGTAAATATATGTATTGAAAATTTGCTTTGTAATAAATAATATATTGATATGTGAATTTGCTTCGTGTAATAATGAATAAACTTAATAAACTTGTTACAAAATTATGTCGACATATTTAATATCATTTTTACTAAAACGCATTACTTAAAACACCACACACTGATTAATTAGCCAGTTTTTGAGTTAATACAACATAGGTGGTAAAACACCATAGATGCGTTTTAGTTAGTGTTTAAGATTGAATATTTTACTATATACAGTAGTATGCTTTAAAAAAGATGTAACAACTTACCCAATACTATCGAAACTAATTTTTAAATCGGTTGTAACATACGTATGAAAAATATAGCCGGTTTAAAAAAAACATGATGCGCGGAACTCAGTTTTGATATGCACGCGCGTACAACGTTACGTACGACGTTACGTACGACGTCAGCAGCCTTGAAATGCAAATTTTCTGATTATCGTTAATCCTCCACAACCTGGCTTAATACATTTAATTATGTCAAAACGAATGCTTGGGAAACTGTCATTCCTTGTTGGTGGGACTTTTGGTGGGACTTTTGGTGTTTTTATTGGTTATTATTTGAACAAGCCAAGGGAGGTGAAAGAATGGTCACCCGGCTCTTCGTATATGATAAACTTGCCCTCCAAAGAAAAACAGTGGTTACCTCAAGTTTTAGCTCCTTTTGGAGGATATCCCGGTGAGTTAAAGGGGTAAGCAACGAAAGTAATCTCATTGGACTAGTAAATTATATTTTATCCTAACATTAAACATGATTTGAATAATGATTCTTGCAGGGCCAGTTCACGACGCGTTACCAAGAAAGGCATATTACTCTTCATTTAACCGACGACTTCATCATCCAAACTGGGTAAATTTTTTATTATATATGGAAGATACACATCTATAAATATTTGTTTATTCACATTGGTGCTGATAGGTATTTGAGCATCTAACAAAAGACTCGCTAAAAATTGGTGAAGGTGTAGATCGTAAATTTTCAAAATTCCGGGAGGATTCAGACATTCCAGAAATGTTTAATGCAAAATTGACCGATTATATTAGATCGGGATATGATAGGGGTCACATGGCTCCAGCTGCTGATGCTAAAAATACACAAGAATCTCTGGATGAGACTTTTTACTTGACAAATATTGCACCTCAAGTCGGGAATGGTTTTAATAGAGATTGTATGTTCTGTTTTTGATTTTTACCAACTTCCACCATAGGTGATATCACCTAAGTTAATTGATTAGTAGATACTTGGCACAAAATCATAATTCTAACTTTAATTCTAGTTGGTGCAAAAATTTTTAGTTATAAAATAATATAGGTGATATCATTTAGAGTGGGTGTTTCAAAAGTCATTGTACACGTCCCTTTTTTCTAAGTGACCTTCTTATAGAGTTTACGTATGCAGAAAGTACATATTTTGCATGAATAAATCATCATGATCTCTATATAAGTCAGGACGTGTATAGTAACTTTTGAAATAGCCGGTACGTTTATGACAATAATTTTTCAATTTTTCTCTGATTACAACAGATTGGGCATTCCTTGAAGAATTTTGTAGAAAACTTGTACTCAAAGAACACTTCAAAGACGTTTACATATTTACAGGCCCAGCTTATTTACCGAAGAAAGAGGAAGATGGTAATTGGATACTTTTATTATATTAACATATCCTCTTCTTTATAATAATGCAACACCTCTATTATCATAAGGTAAATGGTATGTGAAGTATCAACTCATAGGCGAGCCTCCAAACGTTGCCGTCCCAACACACTTTTTTAAAGTAATCTTGGCCGTTAAAGAAAACGATAGTGGAAAATTGCATGCACTTGGCTGTTTCTTGCTACCAAACCAGCCTATACCGCATAATGATCCACTTGAAAATTACGCAGTTCCGCTTAATGCTTTGGAGAGAACTACTGGGTTAAGATTTTTTGAAAATCTTAAGGAGGAGACTGTTCCTCTTTGCGAGGCTACAAAATGTGAACTAATTCCTCCTCACAAATGGATATCAAGTGATGAAAGAGAAAAATTATTGACAGATCAAGAGCCAAAAAAATTAATTTCATAATTAATATTGTATTATTCACACGATAATGATAATGGCCAGTGTTTCAACTCCAAAAATGAATATTCAAAATTTAAACACTGCATCATAATTCTAAATCGATATAAATAAACCAAATGAAATAGTAAATCAAAATATACTTTACATGAAAATACTTTTTTTTTTCTTTTTAAATTTATGTTACTAACCCATAAGGAGAAAAAAATAATAATATAAAAGACAGTTGATCATAACAAAATATTTGTAGGAAAAAAAAAATAAAAAAAAAAAAAACAAAAAAAAAATAAAAAAAAATATTGTTCATTATATCCAAAATCAAAAACTAGCAAAAAAAAAAAAAAAAAAAGTGAAAACAAATTGTACTTAAGTGTTCAAATATCTTAATGCAAAAAAAAAGAAAATTTGTACAATATCACTCTTTGTCTATATTGTATATTATTTATTCCTATATCATAACGAATGATAATATGTATATACACAGTGATATCATTGGACATATTCATCAAGATATCATTCCAGTCTCATTAGTCCCAGACTAACTAATAATCCGGAAGATTCCTGACACAAGATATATAACAGATCACAGCTTCTCCACAACTTTCTAACCCATGGTATATGCGGCAGTTCCTTTATTGCGTCAATTTAGTTACAGTGTTGAGTGCAACCTTGTTCACATCATGTGATATATGATGTGACAGTGGTTTTCGATTTATATAATCGGCATATTTTACAATGAAATCCACTTGTCTATAGACAAATGAGAAAATAAGTGATGAGCGCACTAAAATTAAAAACCACAGCCAAAAACAAAATACATACTGTATGGTTTCAATTGCCTTCGGGCTCCTTCTCATTCTTACGAACCGTATTGCACGATCAGCATCGCAACAGAATTGTGTTTTAAGTAACCAGCAACATGCCACTAAGCCAGCTCGCCCAACGCCTACATAAAAAACAAACCGAATCGAATTACTTTCTTAGAGTGAAATTAAGCATAAAAATAAGATTGAGTAGAAGGTAATACTACTAACCACCGCGACAGTGAGCCAGAACTCTTTGACCCGATTGTATATGACGATCCATCTGCATTACAACTTGGTCCATCTGGTCCAATGTGTCTGGACAACCACCTTCAACCATTGGTATTCTAAAATTAGAATGAATATTAATTAGTAAAACAAATTAATTAGAAACTATTTAAAATAAGTAAGATAAGCAGACTTACCTAATGATTTGCAAATTATGCTTCTGAGCCAATTCACAATACTTTGGCCATGGTACTCCCAAAAATGCCAACTCCTCGTCATTAAGACAACTATATTATCCATCCATATAATAAAATTTTTAAGCATATATACAATCATAGTGTAGCATTAAAACATTGACTTAAAAGTATTAACATACCATATAACCATTGATATGTCTGAAGATTTTAATCTTTGAAAATCCAAATCCAAATCACGATCAATTGTTGCTCTTCCTCTTACTGGACCATTAAGTCGGACCTTTTTACCAGGACATGAACTCAAGGCCAGGTTGCCTATTAAAGTCGGACTATAGCACGTACAAGAGCCGCGTCTTTGTAAAGTCTGGGAAGTATTTCTCACAGTTTCATAGTAGTGCTGGAAAAGGGATGCAGTAGTGTACACATCAAAAAGGTCTATTGTCGCGGGAAGTGGGTCCAAAGAGAGACCTTCAATCAGCTCTTCCGGAACGATCCAGCTGATGCTGTTAACACAACCATAAAAAGCAAGATTTCATAAGTTACAACGAATGTACATACCAGTTTTTCAAGTAAAAATATGTGGCTTTGCTTACTTGATGGGGTGAGTCAGCGACGTTTTCAGGCTAACCCGTGGCGAAGAATTACAAGACACGACTGGTCTATAATTAAGCGAAGTTACAGGCGATACAGTGTCTGAGGAAGTAGAGGCCATATTTGGAACGTAACGAGAAGATTTACAAGAGAAATAAAATTACACAATAAAGGTTAGAGAGCGGATAAAGAATATTGGAGAGTGGCGCTTTATACCGGTTGAGAAGGAAATTGCGGAAAAGTGTGATATCTCTATTAGGCGTGTCTTGCAATATATATATATATTTAATTGAATTTAAATTATTGGATACGATTTTTGAACGTTGACCGACGTATCCGGGTGCATCATTCGCCAAACCGAAATTGGATATATCTTCTAAATACATTTCATGTTGTACTAGTGTTTTGAGTGAGACAAACAAAGATTGATAAGATTCACATATTTAGAATCTATTGTGTTTTATGTTTGCTACCGTACGCCACAAACCTTGCCAACGTTTCATCATACTTAGTCAATTGGTTCCTTTTTAGATATCCATCGTAACATGACACTTGCGTAGCTCCGAAATACGTAAATACACTAAAGATCTTCATAAGAATGGGAAGAACGAACCATATCAAACATTAAATATTTCTTGCATGAGAACAGGATTCATGTGGTATTTACGTTGATTTAAAATTTGACGTTGTTACACCAAATACATTTAGAGCATTGCACATGAGTTTCATGTAACATCTATATGTAAGGACAAAGTCATCGTTACACACCAATTTACCGAATTTTCTAAACTCGGAATTAATTTTCATCGTACCCAAGAGAAGGAAGATATTTAAGTAGGCAGGTGCTAGTACTGCATAACTTTATTGTGATAGGGACATGAATATGTATGATTTACATGAGAAATCTGATAACGGACTTTAGCATAACAAAATAAGGAGTATTCAAAGTAGTTGATTGTATGCATGATAAAAGATTTAAGCGAATAATAAATAGATAATTAATAATAATTATAATCGCGGGTTATCTGTGTAATCTGTAACCATAACACCCCGTGATCTTTGATATAATGATCGGAGTATTGATACGTTGCACATTTCGGTAGTCATAATTAGGGATAGGAATCGGCTATATGATTTAGTCAACTAAATCGACTAAACATAATAATTTACATATAAATTTTTTAGTTGACTAAATCGATTCCTATCCTTAGTCATAATAACGGTTTCTGCTCGAGTTCAACCATTAAAAATAATCAAAGGTTATCTTTTATATTCTCGTTGGTTAATACATTTACAGATCGGCCAATGATAAGTGTTGCCGGAGATGTCATATGGTGTTTTTCTACCACTTCCCCTAATGTTGCAACCGTCGCGGGAATGATCCTTTCTTCAGGACGATTACCATTTTCCACAAATACTGAAGGCAGATGTTCAGGATATCCTTTATTTAATAACTCTTTAGATAATTCATTCGCTTTGCCAATAGCCATGAGCACAACTGTGGTACGCATCTCATGATATTCAGGTAGTTCTGGCAATCGTCCCTTGGTACCTTGACCGGTTGTGATGAGCACTTGATCTGACAAACCTCTGTGAGTCACAGGCACATCTGCAGCCATAGGCGATGATAATGCACTACTAATTCCCGGAATGACTTCAACGTTCCAACCTTTCTCCCTAAAATATGCTACTTCTTCTCCCCCGCGTCCAAACAAAAATGGATCGCCAACTTTCAGTCGTACAACAGTTTTACCTTCATTTAATGCATCAAGACACCAACCTTGAATTTCATCTTGTGACTCTGATGATTTAGCTTCTCCCGATTTTGCGGGTGCTAAACGAACTTCACATGTAACATTTGAGAATATAATACTCGGAACAAGTCGGTCAGATACAATCAAATCTGCTGACATAAGAGCTTTGGTGGCTTTAATAGTCATAAGTTCTGGATCTCCTGGTCCTGCTCCAACCAAAATAATGCGTCCTTTCCTGGTAGAATCAATTTGCTTTTCTTTAATCAATGAAAAATTAGGAACTTCATTGTTCTCGTAAAAAGACATCAATCTGGTAATTTTTTCTTCATCTAACTGTCGTAATTCTTCCATGGTCCACTGTTCGCAAATTCTTGACATCCAATCCATTCTTTTCTTAGATGAAGTATGACTTGGATCAGTTTGTCTTACTTTTTGTCTTAAAAGCCCAACACCTTTGATCGCATCCCCAACTCCTTCTGGTAACTTTTCTGCTATACGATCACGAATCATAGTTGCTAATTTTGGTCCCTGACCGTTCGTTGATACTGCTATTTGAAGTGGCCCATTACGATGTTCTGCCATAAAATAAAAATCACACATTGGTGGTACATCAGCTACATTTACCGGAATTTTCCTTTCTCGACATAATGTGCAAATTTCTTCCGACCTGATCGGATCATCAATAGCTGCCAAAACCATATCAACTCCCTCTAAGTCTGATATTTCAAATTCTCTATTTATCCATTTATAAATTTGTTTTTGTTGAATACGATATTTCAATTCATCCTTCAGACCTTTCTCTGGGCATACCAAAGTTATAAGTGCATCCGCTTCTAAAGCTTTTATGACTCGACTTGTTGCGACTCCACCGCCTCCAATAACAAGTACATTTTTATTTTTTGAACGCCAAGCAAGGAGGAGAGAACCTCCAGTTCTTATAGTTGGATATTCTTCAGAAGACATTAATTATTTTGTTATATCGTGGAATTTAGTGAACTTTTAAATATATATAAAAAAAAAAAAAATCATTACCAAAAATAAATGATACGTATAAGCTTTTTATATTACGTAGTACTCTCATTAATAGATAACGATAACGATAACAAAATTTCCTAAATCTGGGGTTTATCCCAAATCTGGGGTTTAGATATCTATCCAACAACCATTTATATATAATCTGCAAAAGCATGCATGATCGTAATACCATACCGATATAGTAAATTTAATTCGTTTACCGATATCGATATAAAGTTGTCCATCTACGTATAAAGTATTCCCCAATTCTCTTATTTTGAGATGTCGACGTCTTCAACAATTTCAACAAACACCCCACGTTACGGTGCTCCTCCGGTAATCCCAAAACCCATTCCTATAACTAAAAACGGCGTCATAAAAATAAAAGAACTTAGACCATGGATTCGTGGCTTTGACTTGAAATGTATCATATTGCAACATCGTATGTTATCTTTATTTTACAAAATTTATTATTCGAATCTTTAATCTCATTCATCTCTAATTTATAGTTTCATCTCGTGCTTTGAAGTCTATAGCAGAAGTTGAGATTCATAACTTTCTTGTCGCCGACGATACAGCGGTGTGTACTCTTGTGATTTGGGAAAATGGTCAACATTACAGAAGTGGTGACATTGTTCAAATCACTCATGGGTAAGAACTTTTATTTCATTTTATTGTAATCTTTAATTATTCCAAATGTTAATCAATATTTTTTTATAGTGAAACTAGAATTCATGAAGGTATATTCGAATTAACTGTAAATAAAAATTTTGGAAAAATAAAAGTTGTTGATTGGTGATTATTTATACTCAATTAGAAACGGCTATTGTGATTATTATTATTCTTTATTATTATGAATATTATTGTTATTATTAATATTTAATTATTTTTTTTTATATATAATTATAGGGATGTAATGCCATATGTCGAAGAAGAATATCCCAACTTGAGTGGTTTATTATGGGTCCAGGAAGATGATAACCAATTTGTAAGATTATCCAAATCAATTAAAATGTATTGAAATTCCTGGTTATAGGGTTTATTTTCGTTAAAATACTCACATTATTCTTTACCATTAAAGGTGCCAATGACTCATAATCGTGTACCTCTTGATTTAGTAACTTTTAAACCGATTGAACAAAACTCTCAACCTCAGAGAAATACTAATGACTCACTAATACAAACGAAAACTCAATTAACAAGTACTGAAATTAAACAAGAGGAAGACGCTAAAATAAAGTTAGAAGAAGAGGAGATGAATGGTGCTCCGAATAATGTCTCTGAAGTAAAACTAGAGCAACAGCATGCACGTCCTCAACCATGGCGTCAACCGAGCGAATCTCGACAGCACCTATCATCTCAACCATCTGATCGTCCGCGCGGTGCCAAACGTAAACAATCTTATCAAAGACGTGATAGCTGGTGGGATAACCGCGATCGTGATCAAGACAGAGATGGAATGAGAGGTGATCCGAGAAATGATCGTGGTGATCGTGGTCGAAATCAGGACAATAGACGTGGGCGTCAACAACCACGTAATAGAGGTCGTGATTGGGACCGAGGTAGAGATAGAGATCATCGTGAACGTGATCGAGAGTGGGAATACAATAGGCCACATACTGATCTTGATCGGCCGGAAGAGGGTGAATTGGTGGACATTGATTTTGCATCCTTTTCTGCTGGTATGAACCGAGGAGACAATAATCATTCCGTTCGAAAACAACAAAGGATTGATTGAACGAACCACGTGATAGGCATTGATGTATTTAACATTGAAGATAATTTTTAATAAATTTTGGTATTATTTAAATTCATAACCCATAATTTATTTATAGTATGTAGCTATCGAATGATCAGAGATTACTAGTATAAAATTCGGAAATTGGTTTATTATATAAATAAGATTTATTGCTTTCTCGCTTGCTGTTTTTTTTTTTATTATAACAATTTCTATGCTTGTTTTTACACTAAAATCAACATATATTAGGAACATTTGGGTAAGTTACACTTGGCAGAATTTATAAGCATTAAATAAATAGGATTAGGGGTCCAGAAAGTATTTGGGCATGTCCCCTTATTATACTCGTGCATGCGTCTCGTAGGTAGATCGGGTGCACTACACTTTTGTCTTATATTCCTGAAGAAGGGGTAAATTTTATAGACGTCTCTCTCGATGCCGAATTCTTGAAGGAGGTGTAAATTATATAGACGCCTCGGGTAAATTATATAGCGCCTCGCTCCACGAAGGGGTAAATTATACTGTATAGACGTCTCCTCCATGCCAAACTTGTTCTGTTATAAAGTGATCTCAATAAATAATGAATTCTAGAGCTGTTACCCGAGTAAGATTAACATCTTTGCGAATCATGGGTTGAAAATTGCTTCGACCCGGATCAAACGGGCCGTTGGCCACTGCATACAATTAACTCCAAAAATAATACTTGTCTTGATTAAGACCCGGGTATTATTCACTGCCAACCGGCTTACTTCTTGAATAATACCAACTATATTAGTTTACTTTTTATATGATATATATCCCAAATATAGTATCCAGTTCTCACGCGGGTACAATAAAACCCAGGTATTGCATGCAGTGACCAACGGACGGTGGCTTTAATAGACCCAGAATTTCCTGATATAGAAAATGAAAGAACTTAAAATACAGGCAAGGTCTTCAATAATTTTGACCCGGATCATAACCTGTAGGGTTATACGTAATTATTAAAAATGGTTGTATTATACCATTTAGGGCGGTATAGAATATGCTTGATACATATATCATATGTATGCTTCAAGATTCCAAACTGGATTTGTATATAATTGAAAATTGATTATCGATAATTTGAACTAGGGTCCGGAATTGGCGGCCCGTACGATTTGTGTAATAAGCATAATAAACCATTCTCGAAATACCATTTGTACCTCACACGTGCCTGCTACCAGTAACAAAAGTCTCTAAAGTCAGCCTTTTCGTGCCCACGGGCCGGCCCGTAGGCCCAAAAAACTGACTTAAAGACTTGTTACTGGTAGCACCCACTAATCTATTCTACAAATGGAGCCGTATTTCGAGAGTGGTTTATCATTCTTAATACACGCTGATTTCTCTTGTGCACCAATTGTGGAACACTATTTTTAAAAATTCCAAAATCGTACGGTCCGCCAATTCCGGACCCTAATTTGAACAAATTTTATTACGTACGTACGTACTAAGTTTAGGAAAATCGGTTTTCACCGTAAAAATTAAAATAAAATTTACATAAATTTTATATTTATATAAATAATAAATAAAATTATATATAAAAATTATGTAGTATGCATATAAAAATTCTTATTATATAAGTCTATATTGGTTTTGTAGACCTATATAAAAATTTTATATCATATTTATATAACTTTATAGAGCTACATAAAGTTTATAAAAAAAACAACTTGATGATATAAAAGAATTATGGTAACCGCAATATAAGGTGTGTAATCGATTATTTCAAAGTTAAACATATCAGAGATTTGTAAGCTTGCTAATGCTGTAGGATGCAAATAAGAAGAAAAGGTATTTTAAGAAAGGTTTTTTTGCCATTATTTCTATAATTTTGTATTTGGTTCATAAAAAATTCATTTATTTATTCCACGATTCTTATACTTTTATACTATTGTGCTGATTTTCCGGATCTTGAGTTCGGACTAATTGAATCGTAAAAATTATTTCAAGACATTTTTAAACAATGATCGACCAAAGCCCACAAAATCAGTTCATCGA